CCCCGTTCTGTCCCAATATAACCCTCACCAAAATATAAAAAAAGGTTATATGGGACAGAATTATTCGGTCTAGGGTTAGGGGGTAGGCGTAGGCGACTCCCTAGACTCGTTAGTGGAGTAGGCGAAGTACGGTCCGGCATATTAGATAGTACCAGGGTACGTTCCGGTATACCGGACCGTACCCAGAGAGGGTACGTTCCGGCAGTACCCCGGGGGACATAGACCCTCTCAGCCAAAATAAACATCTTGAATCTTGAATCTTGGCTCTTGTTACTTACCCCGGATTTAGACATGTCTCCCAGATAAACATTGAGCTCTACATCTTTCATATCAATATCGCTGTCGGCTAGGTCTACTACATCCTCTTCGCTGCCAGACGATCCTGTTATTGACTCCACATTATCAACGTAAACTTTCAAATTTGACATTTTTGACGATGAAACGCCGTTGTTAAATGTCGCCATGATGCCTTCAGTACATGATTCATACGTAAAGACTTCCGCTAAAAATAATATTCAATTCAATTCAAACAAAATAAATAGCAAACATATTCTTATGACTTACAACTTTAAGACTATTATTGAAATAATAAACTTAATAAAACTAGTTAAATAAAAAGTCTCATAGTTTTGCTGTACTTTATAAGAATATCTAAATAACGCGGCCCTTATTGAAAAAGTGCTACTAGCTTCAACTTTGCGGTATTTTCAAAATGTCTGCGCCCAGCGCGTCGTTAGCTCTTGTGAGTATTTTGAGAGAAATCACGAATTTACAACCACATATTGTTATATAATTAAACAACATTATTTATTATTTACTTATGTATGTATTTTAAACAAGAAAATGTTAAACCATACATGTTAATGACCGGCGTTAAAGTTCTACTTATACACACACTGCCACTGGCACGGACGCTGAGAGGGCCTATGTCACCCGGGGTACTGCCGGAACGTACCCTGGGTACGGTCCGGTATACCGGAACGTACCCTGGTACTATCTAATATGCCGAACCGTACCTCGTCTACTCCACTAACGAGTCTAGGGAGTCGCCTACGCCTACTCCCTAACCCGAACCCTAACCCTAACCCTAATCCTAACCCTAACCATATCAAATAGTGACCAGGGTACGTTCAGGTATACCGGACCGTACTCAGGGTACGTTCCGGCAGTACCCTGGGGGACATAGACCCTATGAGCGGCACTGACAGTGACATGGCCACAACTCACAAGTTCTCTTCTCGCTTAACACTACGTGGGCGAGAGGTCCTACGCCGTGTAACAGTCGGAGAGCCTGGTCGGTTTAGCACTGACATAGCTCTAGTACTATAGCCCGCGTACAGTTGCCGCAGGGCTATTGAACATTCTATTACGAATGCTCGGGACCAACTTACTCCAGCCAGTCAGCGGGAACTATGTATTTCCACACGTGGGCAGGTTGTGTTGGTTCAATGGTTGTGGACAAAAACATTGTTGTTGTCAAGTAACTAATTAATAATAGTAATTTGTTCATCTTTCATGACAAAACTAATATTACAATCTTTTTTTATCGCTTAATTTGTTACTTGACAACAACAATGTTTTTGTCCACAACCAACCCATCCCGCCCACCCTTCCACGTGCGGAAATACATAGTTCCCGCTGACTGGCGCTACTGCAGCGCCACCAAAAATGGCCGTTTGAAGTTCGTAAATAATGTTTGTTCACAAAAAATACTGCAAGTAAACCATTTCAACGATAGTTAGAGGTTAAATTTTAGAAACAGATATAACTTAAGACATATTCACTTCGGATAAGAGGCATTAATTGCCTACCACAGACGTTTTATAGCCGCAAGTAACCGTGAATAAGTTGGTCCCGAGCATTCGTAATAGAATGTTCTATAGCCCTGTGGCAACTGTACGCGGGCTATAGTACTAGAGCTAGCACTGACAGTGTCACAGTGCCTGAGCCTGAGGCTGATCACTGCACTGAGTACCACTGGCACTGAACTGCCAAAAGTCGACTGTGCTCACGTGAATTATTCATTTATATTTGATTTTTGTGTATGGTTTAAATGTTTTTATATAGGAGCGAATTCATCGAGCATTACAGTTACCATTATATGAAAGATGCAGAGAGCTTCAGTTTATTCTGGAAGAGTGCAGTACCAAGGTATGGTGTCACCATTGCCATTGGTGGCATTGAGATTACTGAATAACGACACATAATCACATTGCAAGTATATTAAAATTTATATTTAATTATCAATAAAATAGACTAGTGATGTGGAGATGTGACAAGTTTGGATAGTGTTAAAAATATATAAATAGCTGCTTATCCTCTATTTCAGGACCTTCATGCGATTCTACCAGTTCTCACAGAGAATATATTTGGCTTCAGCAACACGCAAGGATGGGGACTAAAGAGCATATCATTGTCATGGCAACCATCAGATTTCAAGATGCTGAGGCACTTTCTATCGCCACAAGGACCGATGATTAGAATGGTCTACAGACTCCTTCTTGAGAACATTTACAAGTTTGAGTTCCCACTGCAGTGCATACCAGTGTGTGCAACATTATTTCCTATATCTATAATTAATAAGCTTATAGTGTCATCTGTTGAACCTCACATAATGTTATCATTAGTTATAACTGTCAAATATACCTTGGGCTTCATATTATGTTGGTATTCCTGTAGAGCTGCTGTAACTAATTACACCTGATTACTTGCATGATTCTCTGCAAAGTGTCATTTTTTTAAAGTGGGCATTCTTTATTGCATGCCTGCATTGCCATAATTTTCCTCCCTTTTACCATTCAATAATGACCTACATATGTACTCTTACAATCAACGAATCTATTGAATACTGATCATCACATTCTATTGCAGAACTGTCTATATCATACTAATTTTAATCCGAAGTTATAAGCTAAACTGAGCAACATCGAGAGACAAGTGTGTCTAGGTGCAAGTTTGATGTTTTTATATTAATTTCAGTGGCCCTCCCGTAGGCTGGTGGATGAGGGTGCAACACCTGTGCTATATATAAACAAGCTGCAATTCACCAACAGCGGACAACCAGCAGAATTTCTCCTGCTCAGTATCCTCTTAAGTTTTACAAGCAAATATTTTTCTTCGAGAAGGAATTTAAAAAAAATTCAAATATCAAATCCTTCAGTTTTCCTTTACTGTTATTATTAGATGCATTTGAGTATTTTATATTTCATCTGACCTACTACCTAGTGAATCCACAGCATCAGCGCATCGTATGTATTGATCTGTCTAGTCATGACAGTAGTATAATGTCAAACAAATCAGGATATAAAACATATTTAACATGACTTTAATGAAAAATCATTATAACATATATGCCCTATGTGAATAATATCTAATTTGCTTTATTTTATGTCTTAAAGAGAAACAATTTGCCCAGTTAAAGGTACATTTCTGTGGGCAGAAAAAAGTCACAGTATATACTTTATAGTCATACTATTCTGAATGTAATAGTAATATATATTCTCGAAAAAACTGCTTGCATAAGAAAGACGAATATTTCGCATTGCTCAAGCTGGAATGCTAACATACAATGAATATCTGAAACAATTGCGTTGTCTGTCGCAGAATTCATACAATTGGAACAACACTAACGAGACACTCTACATAATGCTGGTAGAAGACTACATGAACTACTTCCTGCCTGCTGAAGGCAATGGCCTTCCTCCCATAAGTGCGCTCTCCATGCAACAGCAGTTGGGAACCTCAAACACTCCCAGAACCTTCTTCAACAACTTGTAAGATGATAGTTGTTTTCTTGCTGTGGATTAGCAGTAAAGTGATAGCTATGATCGTAGTAACATTGGTGTTAGCACAATTAGACAATTTCTTGTGTGCAATTTTTTGTACTTGTGATAAAATTGAGATATTTTTCGTTCTACCTTGTTTAGTCACATGAGCCCGTTTCGTGCGGCGGGAGGCAGCCGAGACAGCTCTCCCTTCTCCCTGCGCTCCTTCATCAGCCACAGCCCACAAGCAAAGGCCACGCCCACTGGTCACATGACTAATGGAGAGCAGCAGACAGAGCTCTGGCGATCCGAGACCTTTCTTCAGGTAACCGTCTCATCCCTATTTCATTCACAGAAATTATTCACGCCAATGAAGCAAGGTTTCACATAGTATCATGATAATTAATATTAGGAAGACATAAGGCATAATCTTCTGTACGTGTGAAAGCAACATTCCTCCACTGTTTAATTTTAGATTGTGACGGAGGTGTGGCTGAACCAGAATTCACTTGATATGATGCACAGAAGACCCTTCTCTCCCACCTGTGTGACAGCAAACACAGTAAGTGTATGTTACACATATCACACCCGCTACTGTAAGTAGCTACATATGGACATGTATTTAGTGTTGGATTTTGATAGTCACACATGTAGAGGAATTTTATTATACTTGGTTCTCATTCTTTACCATATCAGGTTTACCTCGGCGAGATCCCATCGCATCTGTAGGTTTATAAATCCTTCTCATAGATTCGTACTTTAAAATAACTGAAAACATGATTGTCGCAGGTAAGTTATACAACGTTGATAGCGTGATTGTGACTTAGGTGGCGCTATGCATTACGTGCATGTCGTAAAACAATATGTTGTACTTGCAGCCATATTCTGCGAGCATCAGTTACAGAATGCACCCAGAGTTTAGTTGGTCGAGTTACTTACGTGACCCCATGATGACAGGCGTAAGTTAGGCGTCAACAGCGCCACCTACTGCACAACGTTGTAGTCAACAGCCATCTTTCTCTAAGAGGCTTGGCTGTGTCGGACTTTCTTGGTTGGAGTCTTTGTCATAGAGAGACGTCGTTGTCGCTTTCTTAATCGGCTTAGCTTTTATATTCAACATGCGCAGCCGCTGTGCAGATCCCTGCCTCTGAAATTAACACTTTCTGAAATCAATTGTTAATCAATATGATTTAGCTGTGAGTGGTGTGTCATTGCGTCCCGTTGGTGGTTTGGGATCTTACGTGTTGGTGAAATGTAATAGCTGGTTGTATCGTGGTCGCTATATGATATCAATTTATCTACCAGTGATTGGCTTGCGCTTAAGGGGTGGCAGAGGTCGCATTATAATGGCTCATGTTGCTCTATGTGTGATCGCTTCTGCATTAGATTTAAATAGTAGTTGTACTAAAATATAGGAGAATAATATTGTGTTTCTAGGTTGCCGTGTTTAATGTCTGTTTAAATTTTAAATGAATTTTCAGCTTTGCCTGTGTTTCCATATGGTTCTTTTGCTAACCACGCTTGTATTTACTACTATATTTATAGCAGTAATTATATACTATAGTATGTACATAAGTATATACTGTTGTTGTTGTTTTCGGTTTCTTTATTTTATACTGGACTCAAGGGTTTAAATCCACATCAGTGGAAACCCACTCCAGGTACTATAGTATATATATAAGTATATAATATATACATATATATTATAATTACATTGGGTAGTGTACATTTAGAATATCTGCCAATCACAAGCATATATTACAAAATAATGCAAACTGATATTTAAATGAATGTTTCGAAAATTTAAAAAAATTGTAAGCAATTCTGTGACAGTTTCTTCCTAGTTAAATATAGCTAGCATGATGCGGGAGATGTGCTCACTGTGATTACATAACATTGCACAGCCTTGTGATGTATCAGTATATCTTCACTCTCTCTCTCTCTCTCTCTCTCTCTCTCTCTCCATCACTGTGTATGTGTCGTAACGTGCGTCTGACATCGTGTCTGCATTACAGGAGAACTTTCTGCCGAGTCAAGATCACGTGAAGGTTGTACGCATGCTCGTAAAATACCTGCACTACTTCTCTGGTAGTGGCAGACCGGACATCACCTCCCCTGGCCACCACTGCCACGTGGGCAGCTGGAGCCACTTCAAAAAGTAAAGAACCTTCTGGTGGCAGTCTATAACCTACTGTTGAGTACTGACAAAAGAGTTAGGGAGTCACACGTGGCATCAGTTTAGTGAATGGTTATGTGAGAGTCAGGTTATTTCCACCGTTGAAGGTGTATCGAAATAATTTTCATTTGGTTTTTGTTGTCATAGTCTTACTTGTTACTTCAGCGAACTAGCAATGCCCAGGTTACCCTAAAAATATTCCTCTTATTTGATGTAATTGCCCACTCAGAATCACGTCTGTGTTGTGTTTTGTTCGGCAGGTCAGCTGTTAATCAGATTGTGCAGAAGAAGCTGTATTCATTCCTGAAGCATGCCTTCCTCCGGTGGCCTCTCGACTATTCCTTCAGACTGGTAAGATCGTGTTGCACCAAGCTCTAATAGTGATTCTCATTTCAGACCAACCTCATTCTACTCACCACTCTTAAAATTATTGTTTTACCAATTAATAGGATATATATGTGGCAACGCTAAATGCTCAACATTACACAATTGCAAAAGTAATCAGCTTGGCCAAACCACTCCCTAAATCCTACTGAATTACCGTGAGCAGATAGTCATTTGAAGATTTGAAAAAAATTTTGTTTGCCCTCACCCTACCCAGGCTGAAAAGTTTGGGTAGGTAGGTTGGCTATTTTTTTGAGGGCGGGGTCTTTTTAGCTCATCTGACGTAGTCAGATGCAGCTTGTAGAATTGCATGATTGTCCGTCCGGCCGTCCGTGCGTCAACAGTTGGGCACAAATCTTAACCGCTCGACGTACGGTCACGATATTCGGGACGTGGGGGGGATCGTGAAAAGGACTCGGGATGATCAATTTGGGGGGTCAAGGGTCAAAGGTCAAGATGTGTAAACGGAGGGGGAATATTTTCCCCTTAACTTAAGGTATAGGAGGAAATACGGAATTGCGGCAAAAATCTGAACGGCTCGACCTATGCTCTTAATATTCGGTGTATAGTGTGATGGGCAGGAAACCCATCACCAGTGCGAAATTTGAGATCACAGGTCAAAGGGCAGGGGGGAAAGGTCAGATAAAAATTCTAAGATTCTAGTCAGTATGCACGCCATCTATCGGAACAGAGTGAGAAGAATGTACCGGCAGGGTAGGTCAAATGTATATTGCGCTCAAAAGTGCAGAAAGAATTACTTTCTTAACTTCAGTTTAACCAATCTAGAGATAATTAATTGCAGAAATGAATCGTCAAACCTACCAATGAAAATTTGCCAGTTTTGTACTGTCCTTGGCATGGCTCTCTCCGTCGACGTTACAGTAGTGTGCAATGTCGGGATATGGTGGAGCATGGCTTGTGGACACTGCAGAGCCTGATGGTTGACTGTCAGTCGAAATGTGTTGATCCTCTTGACATTGAGGAAATCTGTACGTTATACGTGCGTCTGCCTTACCTCAGCCCGCCATCTTCGTCTAAAGTTTGGACGCCGCGCGGCGAAATCGGAATGTACATTTCAATCGATGACGTAACTGATACAGTAGTGCGCTGCGTGGTTGTTATTTGTTTATAAACAATTTAGTCTGACTGACTCTCTCCCTATCTCTCCTCTCGCCCGCTTTCTCTCTCTCTCTCTCTCGCCCCCTCTCTCTCTCTCTTCCTCTCTCTGCAATAAAAAAAACGTTTGCTGAAATGATGTGTACGCAACTGCGTATCTGCGCCTAACAAAGGTGTCACTACGCACGACTTAAATGTTACATTTATAACCGTAGCAACAGACCTCAGATGAGCCCAGACGCTCTGCGGCTCTTGTTACAAATTCAGCATGGTGTCTACATGCTCGGGTGTGCTTGTGTGGAGATACCTTTTATGTTGAATGTTTGTTTTGCTCAGTACATATAATGTATTGCCTACAGATTTATATAATGTACAGTGATACAATTTGTAAAAAAAAAGAATGGGAAAGATCAATAAAAAATTTTGAGTCAGCCCCTTTTTGGCGGGTCGGTCGGGTGAGGGCAAACAAACAATATTTTTATTATGGCCTAATTCGTAGGTGTTGGAGACGTGGCTCAGCTACATACAGCCGTGGCGTTACCAGGGTGCTGGAGGCTCACCCACACATGGCAAGGAGGGTGGAGGAGGAGACCGGACTGTCAACCAGCAATGGTACGAATGTAGCAACGCTCGCACACTCACATCAGAAATAACACGATCAGACGAACCAAATATGCATGAAATTTTCAAGTGTAATGATTTATTACACACGTGAAAGACAAAAAAAAAGTATATTTACAACAGCATTCGTTCGATGACCAAGTATATCAAATCACCAGACGAGTCATCAGGGGCTAAAAATAGGGCAAGTCTGAGGTCCGGGACCTGCCGATTTCATGCTCGGACCTTCGCAATTTCCAAGCAGTGTATCAATAATTCATTTACAGTACTCGACTGTCATCAAATAAAACATCATTAAACCGTTGAAAATTGTGAAGAAATAAAGCGAAAGTAGATCGATTTTTTGGTCACTGTCGACATCTAGTATCATATTTAATATTCACGATGAAACATACCAAGTGTAAGAGTCAAATTTACTGAAAATCTGATCGAAATTACATGTACTGATAGGGCTACAACGTTAGTAGCATGGTTGTTTGTAACGGAAGTTAACGCGGATGCGCGCAGTTTCAGCATAAACTTGGCGCTCGTGCGAGTTACTCAGAATGCCTGCAGACGACACATGTATTGTATCAAACAAGGGCAAACATGAGTTTGTTTATGTTTGGTTTTATATAAAAAAAATGGACACACTGTTACCAAACGATCTATTAGCCAAACAAACGTTACATATTCGGACCTTCCTAAAATATTGCTGAAAAGTCCCGTGCCTGCGGGCAAAAACCACTATTTTCAGCCTCTGGTCATGTGCATGTCTTCTCATCTTAAATTCATGGACTCACAATCTTCACAATAACACAGATTTTGCAGTATAATATATTTATGCTCCAATAATGATAATTTTTCTATACAATTTCATGATAATGTAATTAAATAAATCAAGTGAGCATACAAGCACATCACAAATAACATCATAATCTTGCAGGATGCCTAAGGACTTCTACCTCAGTGATGCCCTCTAAAAATACATGTCACAAAAGGTCACATGACAGGTCAAGTAGATCACATATAGCATGATAGCAGGTTATGTTTGTCACATGCCAGGCCAATCAGCAGATCACATAGTTCATGGTTGTCACAGGTCAATGGACTAGACGGGTAGCTCACATAGCAGGTCACCTTGAAGGTTGCCTGGTCCATGACATGAGTCACCTTGGTAGGTCACATGCCAGATGACGTTTTTAGTTTCATAGCAGGTCAATGCTGGTCACATAGGTCACTTGTCAGGTAAGATAGGGAACCTGTTGGGTCACTTGGGTGACGTGACAGGTCAGGTAGAAGACCTACAAGGTCATCATTAGTCCAGCTGACAACCCCCACCACCACCATCACACACACTCATTCTCTCTCTCTCTTCCTGTGACACAGGCAGCTGTTCGTGACGGACAACCTACTGTACTTCACCGTGATGTTCCAAGCGTTTCTGCCGCGTGTGTTCCGAACAGACCTCAGCTGCCCGAGGAATGCCTACATGCTGTTCCGGGTCACCAAGGTGTTCTCTCAGACCAACCTCAACATTATGATCCAACAAGGTAAGGTGTCGTCTACCCTACACCACTAAATTCACAGCACCCATTTTTTGTTTTGCGCTTAAAATGTACTTCTAAGTGTGTTTTTTAGCTCCCCTTGACATCGTCAAGATGAGCTATTGACATGGGGTGTCGTCCGTCCGTCAACATTTGGCTACGGTCAATGATAATTCAAGAACCGTTTGACCCACATGTTTCAAATTGCATATAGTTGTTACTCCTATGGGAGAGGTTTGTACGTCCTATTTTGGAGCATGCCAGTCGACCTACATTTGAGCCACGTCCACTTTTTGGCAAAAATGGAAATGGCCATAAGTTAATTCAGGTTCAACGCATTTTGCTCATTTCTAGTATGTGAATGAATAAGGACTGGCCCCAAAACATATCACACGGGTTTTGATATTTTTTTTAAATTATGCAAATTACGTAGATTTAATTAGCAATTTCACTATGCATTTCAGTGTCTGCCTACGGTCAACGATAACTCAAGAACCGTTTGACCCACATGTTTCAAATTGAATACAGTTGTTACTCGTATGGGAGAGATTTGAACTTCGTATTTTGGAGCACGCCAGTCGACCTACTTTCGAGCCACGCCCACTTTTTGGCAAAAATAAAAATGGCCATCTAAATTCATTCGATTTTGTTAAATTTTGGAATGTGAATGTGTAAGGCTAGCCCCAAAACAGTTGTTACTCCTATGGGAGAGATGACAACGTCCTATTACGTTTATTTCGTCTAACTGGTCAACAACTCTACAATCATACCTATATACATGTAATATTGGGTTTTAGATTCTTCGTTACAGTAATTTGACTGGAATATTTTATTGTTTTTATTTGCGCGATATTCGAAAACCAAAATGGCCATCATTTAGGCGTAGCGCCATCTCTCATCAAGATTTCAGACTTTCAGATCTGAAACATTTATTTTCGCATCAAAACTTATGCATATATCATTATCAAGAGTATATAATGGGAGATATGCTATATAATGGGAGTTCTCCCATATATACTCTTGCTTTATATATCCCCCCTCCCTCTTTTATCACACCCAAGGTGAGCTACAGTGTCATTGACACTTTCATTTATCGAATTCGTCCTTTATGCACGAAGTGAAACTGATTTACGAATTTACTATGTGTAATCACTCTGGTCTTTAGTTTATGTGCTGTGGGAACGAGAGTCATGGTAGCGGGGCAGCAAGGAGGCACGGTTGCGATGAGCATGCAGTAGTGGCGTGGCGGGAACACGCGTGTCTCACAGGAGCTGGTGTTCATTCCAGCACTCCGGCCGCGTCGCTGGGTGACACAGGTGCACGTCGCATCTCGCACACTTGTACCTGCTCTCGTGTGGCCGTGGTTTCTTAGCCTGCAAACGCCATAAACGCTGCTATATACACTATATTAACCACGTATTAACACCGTCACAAACACTCTCCAACGAACACCACTACAAACACCACCATAACATTGCAAACATTATGTAGTTGTTTGCCGTGAATTGTTCTGCTCACTGCGACTAAGTTACCTGCATTTTGCCAATCACTTGCATCTATCTAAACCATACGTAAAATCACATACCGAACGTAAATTGCAAAAGCACAAAAACGAGCTCCCTGAGCTTAAAGGCTCACAATGCGCATCCAAACGCTAATTTCTCCAGTACTAGACTAGCAAATACTTCGTGTCATGCATAATCATACTACCTTATGGCAAAATAAACTCTAGTTCCTCCCATTTCACTGCGCGTTGTCTTATAAAAGGTATTTTGAAAATACCTCCAATGTTGTTGAAATTCTCCGATGTTGTTGACAGTTTCCCCAATCCCCGAGCAACCGTACAGCGGTACGGGCGCAGCAAAGATAAAAACATGTGACGTCACGTCACCACTTCGAGGCTATTTTGTTTGGCAAACAGTCGGCGTTTGCGCCAGAATGCCAGTTTTCTCACCTCTTTCTTGTGGGTTTTAAGCAAACGCGCAGTGAAATGGGAGCAACTAGAGTTTATTTTGTCATAAGGTAGTGTGATTATGCATGACACGAAGTATTTGCTAGTCTAGTACTGGAGAAATTAGCGTTTGGATGCGCATTGTGAGCCTTTAAGCCTGTGCTCCATTTATCTTTCGGGGTCCTACAAGGCTGTAGCCTGACCTGCGTGTTCCTGTTGTTCCTACGACACTGTACGCATTCCCTCTTGGTCGTGCTGTGCTCCAACTTGTGGATGTTCACGTTGCGTCGCCGCCTAGTGGGTGCTTGCGAGCTGGTCTCACCGATGGCGCCCTCTGGCTTTGGGTAGAAAGCTCGTTTTTTCCGTTGTCGGCCCTGAAACAGGATTGCTTCGGTCAGGGAAAACCGACGCAAGTTGGAGCACCAAGGGAAACATTTCCTTCAGAGAAAGTGGCACCGTTTGAAGCAAACTTACTTTTTATCCACGATTTTTATGAAAGGTAGGGAGAAATTTGTGGACGACAAGTAATTTATGGGCAGAGCACAGAGGCAAACTACGTATGGCAGCCATGGCGGCTTATTTTCCTGTATGTCACACAGTTGTCAAGGCACCACAGAAGCTAGTATAAGGTGGGCAACTACCTGTGGCACCGGGGTGAAATTGAAACTTTGCAAGGATAACCTGGAAGCCACCAATCAGCTGGTGGGCGAGTTTGCGACGAAACGTGAGCTGGTCAAGGTCGGTGATAAGCGCGACGTTCAATTGTTTTCGGGTGCTGAACTCCTTCCAGTTGATAAATGCGTTGGTGATCGATTGGTTTGCCTTGTAGTTGAACAGAAACCTAGAGTGGGTGACGGTATGGCTTGTAAACAGTGTAAATAACTCATTACATCATTATCACTAATTATATTAATGATATATAGTGTGAGCGGTATGAGTGTGGTGGGCAGAACAAACATAATTGACACGTGCACCAGTTTATCTCATAAAATACATCAGTCTCTGAAATAAACTAGTTGCTAACCCCTTTGTCGGTATAGAAATAATCACGACATACATTTCAATCAACCCACAAACACATTAAAATCATTTGAGATGATGAAAAATGATCCAATCTTCCAAATGACAATTAATAACCATGCCGTCCAACAGATGGCGGGAGCATCTGCATGACGACCTCACCTGTGTAGCTTCTTTGAGGGTTTCCCGAAGCTGAAGCAGGAGCGCATGAGGTCTGCGAGCTCCATGCTCTTCGTGAAATCCTGGAACAGCTTTACGTTTACCGGCACTGGGATGGTCTTCGGCTCGAGCGTGCCGTTCTCTTGTCTCACGCGACGCTTCGTCGTCGCGGCCTTGGACGACGGGTTTGTGACGGTGGACAGGATGCACAGCTGCAGCAGACGACACAAACACACATTGTTATGCGTGTTACATAGGTTGTGTGCGGGTCATACTACAGGTATTGTACGGCAGGAGTTTCAGCACACGCCAAAACGTGTTTATAGGTGATGTACGGGTGGTTTACAGGTAGTATAAACGTATTTTGCCGTGAAGGCAGTGCCGCTTCTCAGGCTGGTAAACTGGTACATTGTACCAGGGTTTCTGATGTCTCTGTAGACGAGTTGCCACATCCAGGGGCACAGGCCGGTGCCGTTGGATGCACTACAAATTACCTGATTTCCAAAAACATTGTTCCGAACTCTTATAAGATTACCTGAAATATATTTTACGAGTGTTATACGTGTGACGTACAAGTGATATAAAGGAATCGTGCAGACTATACATGTGTTGCATGGATGGGACTTCAGCAGGTGGTGGTATGTGTTTGCACATGTTGTACAGGTTTCTGCTCGTAGCGTTGGTGAATGATCTGTTTCACGCGAATACAACTGCAAACCTTTTTCTTGTCCAGCCACGCTGTGGCCAGCACCGGTCCGTCCTGACGATGGACAGCCTGTCCCGGAATCATGTCCTTTGGTTCTAGGTGCTTAAGGTCATGGGGAAGGTCATCCTTGGCAATACCACACCCATATGTGTTGCGCGTGAAGAGAAAGTCAAAGAACTGACTTGTCACCGTGATGTTATCGAAGTACACCTGAGGAAGTGACACATGCTTTTAAGATTTCATTTAAAAATTTTTATAATTCTTAATTAAAGACTTCTTACTGGTGACTAGTTCATAGAAATCTTCTCATATGATGTACTGTTGGCATCAGAAATGCCAATTAGTGGATTTTGGATGTGTACGTTGTAAGTCCCCATCAGTAGTCTATGAAACAAATCTCCTTGAATCCTTGACCCTCACCCTGTGTCCAGCCCCGTAGAAGCTCTTCAGTAGCACATCTGCTATCTGACATTGGACGTTGTTGCCACGGTAATGAGGCTGGCCTTCCACTGTCCCCATCTCCTTGTTGGAGTAATGCACCTCATCGAGGTAGATGTATCCAGTCATGGGGTCGGTGAGCGAGTAGACCTGAAAAACAGGGTCAGTGCGTGAGAGCACCTGATACATAGGGTAAGCGTGTAAGTGCACTTGGGTCAGTGAGTTAGAACCCCTGCAAGGGTCATGACTTCTCGTGACGACGATAGCGGCCCGTATCTCGCGGTCACTGATGTTAAGTTAATGATACTTTGTCAGCAGGACCAACCCATAAACATGCTTTCTGTGGCATGCTCCTGGGTATCTCCAGGCAAATGTATCAGGTTTCATGTCCCTTGTGCCACCTATTCACAATTGGAATAGGATGGCGAATATTTTTGGAAATAACAAATTGTGTATATCGTTTAAATATTCTCTGAAGGGGGTCTATTAAATAACAGTACAATATGTCCACAAAAGTAGAGTCCGACAGCATTATACAACAGTAATTGCAGACGTGATAGTGTTTGTACCCGATGACCTGACTTGATCCCAGAAGAGCATTTAGAATGTGTAAGCACTTTGAGTGGCCTTCTTCCCTTGAATCCAATAATGGACTCTTCCACGGCAATCTCTGCTCCTGGGTTTCTGGCGCACCTGAGAGAGATAATAGAAGAATAAACAATCCAAGCAGCAAGCCAGAGTTAGGCCCATCTACTGCGCCACTGTCAATCCACAATGCTATAAGGTTTTGAAATAAATAAAACAATTAAGTTGGAAAAATTTAGCACGCATGTATTTTCTGGCTCACGACTCGCCGCAACCAACAAACAGTTACCGATTCCGAACAGATGCCCAGCAAAATCAACATTTGCGTCCAAGCATATGGTGGCATCAAGTGCTCCCTCCCGCCTACCTCGAGTTCCTGTTGATTCGCTCGACCACCGCCTTCACACACACGAGAGGGTCCTGCTTCTCTGCCTCCTTCTGCCTCCGCAACGCCTCTGAGCCAGGCCTCGCGTAGGGGTGGTCCGAGTACGACAGGTACTTCATTATCTGCTTGTACCGTGCGCGACTCATCGTCTTGCTGATCAGTTGGTTTCCAAGGTCGTCGTCGGTCGACCAGTAGTGGATCACGTGTGGTTGTTTGTTGTAACCCATGACGATGAGAATGCCCAGAAACGCTTTCATTTCGGCAACGGTCACCGGGTACCATTTCGTTTTGGTTTCTTTCGGGTTTTCCCAGCGGCGCTGTTGCGCGTATCGGTTCGTGGCGCGGACTAGGTACGATATCAGTTGAACGTCGAATATCTGGTAGAAATAGTCGATTTCCTTCGCGTCCGAACCGAGGGGGAAGGCGGGTCCGACTTGCATGAGGCAGTTGAATGGTTTCGGCTCCCATGAGACTAGCTGAGACTTCCACGTCCGCCATTCTTGAAGATCGCTGTTTTCCGCGTACAAGCGCCGCTGCGAGAGCATGTTGTTGTGATCGCTATCGCTCGTCTCCATCTGTCGCTGACCGTACATGTGATCCTGTGCAAAGCTTCCGTCCGCTCCGGGTCCTTGAACGTAGCTACACGAGGCGTTCTCCCCATACTGTACATTTATATCCATTTTAAATGCCGATACGCCTAATATTTCTGAGTGTGGCTACTCGGTGTGGCAGCTGGCAGCAAATGGCGGGTTATGGCGTGCTGCGGCGGGTGGCTGGGTAACGCGAAAACCAGAGTCGGCACAACGTACGCCTATAGCCATGTGGTCACAAGAGGTTGTGCCACATGTAATCAGGAGTGGATAATAGGTATTCCCTATTATCTACTCCTGATGTAATAGCAGTGTATAACATCAGGGGTTAATAATGACAAAAAAAATTGCCATTATTAACCCCTGATAATATGTGTGCAGTATAAATAAATATATATATAAATATATACATATATATATATACTGCACACATATTATACACTGCTATATTATATAGTGTATGAAAGATAATATATTCGATAAAGCTTGGAAAAGTACACACACTGTAATAAAACAAATAAGGGTAATATATCATAAATAAATATGGTTCTAATGTAGCAGATGGTGAGTGTACTTACTACAAATTAAACGAATGAAATATTTATATAATTAAATGATTCTGATATTTAACAGACTAGAAAACCAGGGTTGCCCATCTTCCGTTGTCAGTACCATGAGGCTATGGAATTTTTGCAGCGGAGGGAGCGTTGTGCGACGCCAGCCACAGCCTGCGACATGGCGGATACTCACCCGGTTACCTGGGCAGCCCTGTGGCGGCCGGACACGCCGGCACAGCCGCTGCACTGCGCATGCAGTTCTCTGAACTCGAAGGTCACGGCTTCCAGTACCAGCCCCTGTTTTCGCCAGAGTGCAGCGACATGGTATGCATTCCTGGGGAGGAGCAAGCTTGAATGTGTGAGGGCAGAAGAGAGAGGAGAGCAGGAGATGAGAGTGGATATAAGTAAAAAGAGGGTGGGTGCATCAATAGAATGAAATAGTGTGTGTGTGGGGGGGGGAACTAAGGAGAAGAAATAGGGGTATATGGAAGGATGAGGTAGCTGGGGAATAATACGGAACCAAGACGCTAGTATTTACGAATAAATCAGTAGTCAAGCATCACAAGCATCGACTCTGCTCGCTAGTGCAATGCACAGGGAGGGATAATTATGCCATGAAGGCATGAGCAGCCACTCACTGCAGCCTCCACTTTGTTATGTATACATAGATACAACAGCTGCTGGATAACATTCAGCAGGCACGAGCTGCAAACGAACAAGCTGCTGTAGCCTATCAGAAGTCACAGAACCAATCGTGGCTCACGTGGCTTTTCTCCGACAACGGTTACTACGATGACTTCTCTCCGAACGAGGCGAAGAGGACGGATGTTCACTTGGCGCACGCCGCGGAACACCTCTGCACGATGTTTAACGTAGGTTCCGTTATTCTACCCGTAGCTGTACAACCAGCATTGTCCTATCACTCGCAATAAGTGTACGTAGTGAATACATGTGCTATTGTTTCACGTTGAAGGTTGAGAATGACTCGGCACGACACAGGCGCGTGGCATGGGGGTCGAGCACAGTGGAAAATGCGCCAAGCACCCCAGGAAGAAGTGGCGCCCTCTATCCCGACTGCATTTATGGCCAGCAGGGGGCGCAGTTGACGCCACTTGGTCGACATCAGGTACCGTGTAAACCTCCACACAGAGTACTCAGCGTCATTTAAATTTAAGTACATTTAGAGGATGCACACTTGTTTATCCCGCATCAGGCTACTGTTATCCGAGAAGGCGATGACGACTTCGCAGCGTTCTCTTCTTCTAAACGCACATTTACGTGTTGCGCCGCAGCTCATGAACGGCCTGCGGAGATTCGATATCACGTTCCGCGGCGATCCAGACCTGCAGCCAATCAGGAGCTTCGAGTGCGCGGCACTGGTCCGTCAGCTACATAGGCTCGCCACCTCTATCAACAGCAAGGTGAGATTAATATCCACAATGCAACGCAACCTAAAAAAATGCTATGATGAGTTATTGTTTGTCCTGACCTGGTAAACCTGTTAACCTAGAAGCATTTTGCTATCTGATACCCACAACAAGCACCCATTAACAATCATCATAAACACACACACACACACACACACACACACACACACACACACATATATATATATACACACGCATGAACAATTGAACATAGACACACACATATATACACACGCACGTATACACGCACACACACGTACATACATACGGAGGGCGACACTTCATCCTGGCATGCTGCTCCACACGGTACATGCACACTAGCAATTTATCTACTTATTAATCTTTCACATACTAATTACGTATTATTATGTATGAAATGATGATCTGATGTGCCAATGAATTCAAAATCACATATATAGATGACGATACTAAGTCTAATGCAAATCTCTAGACGCAGCGTAAATAACTCCTCGCGGATTTCACGCGGTTCCCATCGAGCAGTTACGTACGCAGGGCGTGTGCGAGTCGTATACGATCGTTATATACAGGGTTACGTGTCACTCTCGACTTGTTGCCTCTCCTTCAGTACGGACTGGAGATCGCGCGACTCTACGAGAGCGAGGAGTTCTCCGCCCGCGTCGCCAAGCAGTTCCTGCTGCCGCCGACGTCCGCCGCTACCCTGCATCCGGGATCTCCGCCGCCGCTGCAGGCCCTGCCCGCGCGCCTCAGCATGCGCTACCTCGGCAGCTATCGCAGCATGGGGTATGCGGGGGTGCTGGCGCTGGCAGCGTACGTGTGGGGACTCGGGCCCGTCACCTACGCCCTGCTGCTGGTCTTCCTCGCGCTCTGCTACGGAGTTGTCGGCGCCATCGTCACGAGGTCGGTCACCAGGGCAAAACAGCAGTAAAGCGCCACCTGGTGCCAACATAGCAAGGCCGGACACCAGGGCAAAACAGCAGTAAAGCGCCACCTGGTGCCAACATAGCAAGGCCGGACACCAGGGCAGTACAGCAGTGAATCGCCACCTGGTGGCACCATAATAATGTTTGCCACCAGGGCAAAATAGCAGTAATTTACCACCAGGTACTATTTAGTGATATCGTCAGCCAAGAATCACCAGTAAAGTGACACCACATAACAACGTCAGCCACCGTGGCAAAACAGCAGCAGGTAGTCAGCTGGGTACACCCCGTGACAGAATTACAAGCTTATCTGCTGCTGGCTGGGTGATCACTAGACGTGATGCGGCCATGATGCCGAGGCGCGTCGAGGATTGACACTGTGTCTTCCAATCACAGCCTACGCTTCACCAGACTTTGATATTTTTAAATATGGGGACCCATTGGACCACCAAATCGCCGATCTCAGGAACTAGGGCATTCTGCTATGTTAGAACGGTTTCCTACGATAGAGTTTGCCACAAATACGAAAATAACACGCTGCTTAGCTCACTGCGCTACATCCTTCTGTTGCATTTTTGCATCTCCGTAATCAGAATAAGCCCTGCCTTCTTCGTTGATGGACATGAATGGGGTGTCACCGACATGACCAGTTACTGTACCTACTGTCTTTTGCCAGCCTGTTTACTTTTTATAAATAATGAAATGCCCGGCCGATGCATTTCGCACCGAAGTGGAAAATTTTCGGCATTTTCACTCGCTGTCGGAAGTGAACGAGTGCGTCATTCATTGAACATTGAAGTTTTTCTTAAAATTAAATAATTCCGAAAATCCCTAACCGCGCTACTCGATTGTTTTAGCCAATGAACGTAGCTGTGTGTGTGATGTCTTGCCCGCGCGCTTTATGCTTGGCTTAGCGGGCCTCGATATCGGAGGCAGGCACCTCGCAACACGCGTTTGTTTACATATAGCTTTGTGACGTACGGTGTTCGGGAGTTCTGCGATGATAACCTCGTAATTTCTCAGCATTTCTTAAGGTGCATGGAACATTTTACCAATTTAGTGGTGTCAGTTAGTCACGGATATGTCACAGTAAGTACTAACCGTATATGTTTCACATACGTTCACCTATTTTGCACACAGGCGGTCGATCATTGTGAAAAATTGTGTGAATATTTATTTTTATTGAGACGTTCCAAGTGCCTGTGCTTTCAACAGTCTTGTACGTCAATGCACGTGCGTCAAGAGCCACAAAATCGACACAATTTCATCTCTGTTATTGTTGACGCCTGAATGCGTGATTTTGAGCAGAATTGATCAGGGAGGGGGTGCATGTAAGAGGGAGACATTTTCTTTGGGGTTCCGAAAAACACAATTCCACTTGACAATTTCATGGGCCATTTCAATTTGAAATTCAAAGGTCTGTATATTGCTCTTATTTAGCCGCCGATAGTTCTTATTTAGAACAAAGTCTTTATTGTTATCTTCTAAAACTACAGGCCATCCGCTGACCGCTGTGGAGACGTGCGCCGGGCCTCGAATTTGGCACACGTCTCCACTGCGGACAGCGCTCCATACTTGAACATCCCCGCGGTCGCGTGCGCATATCCCGCGGAACTGCGCGTCTTATCCGCACACAGCGCTCAGGATCAACAGCAAAGCTGTTCCACGCAATCTTGTATCATGTCTCTCTGGATGGCAACACGACTGCGAGGAGGGTGGTTAGTGTGACCGTATTTTGCAAGCGTGTAATCGTGATTGGGTTGAACTTGTCTTGTGTGATATGTAAGTTCAAGGAATCTGATGTCTATTAAAAAAAGACGTCACTCGATATACTCTTAGAGTAACTTCCACATTTATTTGTCATGTTTCTTTTGACAAAACACTGACAGTCAAGCAGATGTACCTTATTTTTGTGAATGATTTTGTAAAGTAAAATAAGCATAATTTATAAACAACCTTTTCTGCAACTAATATGATTTTGTACATCAACACAATTGTGGCAAAATGTTTTATGCAACTGTAAACACAAGAAATGATATTTAACCTGCCACTAAATATATCCATTAAATATAGGACATGACGAGAAGAAGGCTTTACAGATTAAAATTCTTCCTTGTGTTACAAAGATGTTCTACATTTTGAACAAACTTAAACTATGCACTTAAACTATGCATCACTAATACATCACATTAGATCTTCACAATTATATACAATGCCTCTCACTTCGCTCTTAACAATGACCACGTACTATTGTATATGATAAGGACGTGATTTTAATAGTAGCAACAGTGTAACGTTCGCAACTCAGCAGATGCATGTGCCCCCTGGTGAGATACAAATTAAGCCTTTGGACTAAAACCTGTTCGGCAGAGCATTCACTATATACAGCATGTAGAACTATCGCCCAATCACAGGATGTAACACCGATGATGTCATAATGGCAGACGTTCATTGCTTCAGCAGCATGGTCCTGAAGTCTTGGTTGCTAAGGGAGCTCTTCCCCTCTCCCTTTGCCGTCTCCACGTCGCCAGAACCCGCTAGTTTCATCTTGACATCGGCGTCCTCTGCTGGCTGTGTGGCCTGCTTTGGTTCTGGTTTACGCTTCAGGGATCTTGGCACCAAGCCAAGACTAATCTGTGTGCGAGCCTTGCCTCGACTGCAACGGCACACCACCATAAAATATGGACTGTTAATCAAGCTGATAGCAGTTATCAAACGTGTGTGGGTGTGCGTGCACGAGTGTGGGTCCATATTGCAGTAACATCACTTTAATAACATGACAAACATTCGACAACGATATACACAAGGATTGCTCAACGGGCAAGCATGGATAAAATGTTTGTGAGAAATGCAAACCTTCCATGTTCCTCTTTTGGGGCACCACCAAGAGAGGGCACAAACGATGTGGTAGTGCTGCCGTCACCTTCACCAGTCTTTGATTTTCTCACAGGCGGGTTGCTAATGGAAACTGAGATGCTGTGATCTCCGATCTGCAGTCCGTCTAGCTTGAGCACGGCTTCAGAAGCATTTTTCTATGTGCAGGAAAAAGTAAACAAAAACAAAAATATGAAACGTTAGTTATTTCCCCTTTATGTTGTTAAAATTATTATTGTGTAAAGTATGAGGTATTTTGTGTTGCAGATTTTGTCAAATCTACACGAATCTTTTCACAAGGTTATGCTGTGTATGAGTTTTAAGCATACAAAAGATGTCAGCTGATTGAGAAATAACAAAAAGCATGTAAATAAGATTTTAACACCTGATCCTCAAATTCCACATAGGCAAGTCCCTTTGGTCTCCCGCTCTTATATGTGACCATCCGTATATCCTTTAGCTTGCCGTGTTCAGAGAATATTTTCTCCAGGGCATCATGCGTAACATCGAATGGAAGATTCTTCACAAACAACTTGTTTCGCTCCACGCCAGACGACTGGAACTGAAATACAATTCACAAGTCGTGAACGCTTCAATCAGTTCGTCCCACTATCGTTAATCCTAGCACAAGGTGGCAGCACTAACCTAGCCACTGTGGATGGTATGTAAAGTCGGTAACAGCAGTTATAGATTAGTGTTAGATTAGGGTTAGGATTTATGGTTAGGGTTATGAATAGGGCCACAGTTAGGGTTCTGTTAGATTTCAGATATGCCTGTTATGTACTCTAGTCATATACTAACAGTTTTAGTTGCAACATCACTCAAACTGTAGTCTGAGCACGACGGTGACCATTTTGAGGCATACCACGGACTTTGCAGGGCCTACTACAGACGTTTGCAACGTCCAATGGACCCAGGTGGAGCCCACCGTGGACTGTATACGCTGTATATTTCGCGGTGGTTTAATTTTCGTGAATTTCGCGAACGCGTTCCCGAAATAATACCGAATATTTCATAATTCACCGACCGTGAAATTAACCACTCGCGAAATTGTGCGTCAAGTCTGAATTCGCGAAAATATCTGTACGTGAAAAATATGGCGTATACAGTACGTGTTAGGCCTACCTTGAAGTGAGCAGGCTGCTTGTCTTTCTTGTCCTCGCACGGCGACACGTACATCGGGCGTCCGTCGACGTGCGTGCGATCGAGCGCGAGCGCCGGTGCGCGCGAGTCCGCCGTGCGGAAGTACACGTAGCCGAAGCCACGCGAACGCCCGGCCGCGTTCCTCACGATGCGCACGCCCACCATGTGTCCCACCTGCAACGCAGAGTGAGGGGCATAGTCACACGGACACGCACGCCTGCGATTCATCCACCAAAGTGTAGCACATCGCACAGGTTTCCTCTAGCACGACTGTCGTATATACGACCAGGGAAATATCCCCTGCCGAGAAAGGGACTGCCTTCCTGGATTTCCCAAAATTTACATTACATGCCCCGTAAGGCAGGGAGGCCGTAGTGATAGACACACGAGTAAAATGCCTGTGATTACTATTCGCCAAAGGAAATACGTACATCCGTAAACTGTTGTACCTGTAAAGCAGAGGTCATGTTGATAGGTAAGCATTTGGTGTGCATGGGTATCACAATGTATTTGATAACAGTTGGGCTCACCATCATACAGGCCTCCTCTTGGGGAAACCAGACCATATATACTAGACCCAGTGTTGCTAATGTGTTATACTGGATGTGAGCAAGCTCATATCACACACAGAAAACACATCTAGAGAACACAGACACACGCGAAACCCAGTACAATGCATCTGTGCACCAGCCATAAAAATGCCGCATGCGTTCATCAGCTGGAGTGAAATAGCTCCTAAAAGTCTCCTTCACTGTGGCCATCATTATGCATAGGTAGGAAAGTAGAGCATGGAAGTGGCAATTCCCACGGATCGAGATTGTACGACCATACCTTCGAGAAGATTTTCTTTATCGGTTCCTCGCCGACAGAGAAGTTAAGATTACTGATAAAGACTGTCCTGTCGTCCATTTTGTGGTCATGTCTGTCCCCAAGCTCCATTTCAGAATTTTCTGGCACTTTATCGCTCGATTTCTCTTCCCCGTCTGAAATCAAATGCAAGCTTGAAACTTTCCTCCCCTTTTTCTATTCCAATAAAAAGGCAGGCATCTCCTCTCTTCTTTGCTGCTACTTGAGATATTTGATTGATTTGATTGGCAGCGCCAAGTTGTCCCCAGTACTGTCAAATTTATTATCCCGGAAGAGCTAATTATGCAAACCTCGTTTTTTCTTTGGTGGGGGCACCACTGGCATTTTGAATCCATCACTGTCAGTCTCCATGTCGGATACCGGTCGCTTTTTAGGTATACGCGGTGGCACCTCTTTGATATGCTTTAAACAAATATATATACATACACATATGTATATATATATATACACACAACTATACGTGTCCCCACATATTGCAATCACTTCACTAATTGGAGAAAGATATTAATAATAACGAAATAATATATTTGGGAAAAAAAATTTAATAATAAAACATAAGTAATTTATATATTAATAATATAAATATTTTATTATTAAAAGAGACTATAAATACCATATATCTATACGATAAATTACTTTTCATTTCAAAATGATGAGATGATTGGAAGAGGTATTATAGAAAAAAAGGAAAATCATAGGGTATCAAATAAAATGATCTGTAGTATTTACCTTGTTATCACTCCATTTCTTCTGTTTAAAGTCTGCCTTTTTTCCAGGTTTCTTCTGAGGTTTTGCTTGCCTCCATTCCTCCGCTCTACGTGACGTCACTTGACCAGCCTGATTCTCCTTCTCTGCTTCCTAACAAAGCAACAGTAACTTTACATTCTTATATTTGTATAAAGCACACTGAACATGCAGATATGTGATTAACCAAACAGTTGTACTTTTTTAACACGAAATGTCGCCGACCATTTTGACACATTAGCTGGGTTGCACGAAAACATAAACGATCATCAGAAGATGCTCATACTTTGGCACGCCGCTCATTCACCCGCTTCCATACGGGCTTACACTTGGCCATCGCCTCGTCTAGTTGCTCAAGGCTGCCTTCCTCTCGCTCGTAGTCAACGTACGCCTGGCAGACCACCTCTGGAAGGTCACTCGTATGATGTAGGGCGCGCTGCAGTAGTTTACGGCAGTGCTTCTGGTCACCGTATGCTCTGGATAAGAAACGCCACATAGCAGACGTCACATTGGTAATCACTAAAATGACATATCAGAGTTCTTATGAAACCAAAGTTAGCAAAAATCAGGGGGGGGGGCACTTGGACAAAGCTAGAATGTTTATATCGCAGCTGTAATTGCTGCTCTAACTGTACATACTAACTAAGCTAGTAAGCTTACCGCTCTAGCTGTAGATATTCCATCCACAGGTGTGCCTCCTTGCCATGCCCCTCGTGCATGATGTCATTCCAAATCTCACGAGCGCGCGTCATGTTATTGCAGTGAGCGCCCTCTATTCTTGCCCAGTACTGACGAATCTTGCATTCCTGGTCGCCATCAGCACTGAAATCTGCATGAATAGTTTGTATTGTTATTTAGTTTAAAAAAATACTGCATGTTGTCTAAAGCTAAACATAGACAAATCCATTGTCGCTAGCCACAATCAGCTTGATTTTCAACTAGATTGCATGGATTCGTGCCCAAAACTTCAATAGACTCACTCATTCTGGGATACTAGTGCCACCTACACACAGATAGTGCTCCCACCTTCCTACCAACAGCTCTGCTCCCTACCCAATGATAGCTCTGCTAACTACCCATTGAATGATGCCACCTAGTGACCGATACTACTGCCGCTTACTTACACTGCTGCAGGTAATCCACGGCCCTCTGGAATGTATCCTTTAACTCCTGGACCTCCTTCCCCGGAGCCTGCTCCCACTTGACGCGCCTGCGCATGTAGTCGAGGCAGGACAGCCACAGCTGTTTGTAGTCAGCAGGTGCGGCAAACCCCGCCTCCAGAGCCCGCTCCATTACAGCTGCAGAATGCAGAAACACAGCAGTGATACAACCATAATGCCGACGCCACCATAAAACCTACTCTCGCCCGGAGTGCTCCGAGACCATCTCTTACAAAGTCGAGTAGGTAGACTTCCGAGGTGTGCCTACAGCCCTACACGATTCTCAAATTTAATAGTGAAGGCATGAGTGACACTATTAATGGTAAACAGAAATGGACTCGCCTCTGGTCGATCTTGCTGTTGCTTCTTTCAAGGTTAACTGTCACACGATGATGGCGCTTACCTACGATCTCTTCGTGGGGCGTGACGTTCCGTTCCAGGGAGCGCATGTACCCCTGCCACAGGGTGACGGCCCACGGGCAGTTACGTACTGCGCGTTCGTACGCCCCCACCGCTAGGTGTCCGATCTTCAGCTGCGTCTCCTGCAGAACATAACATTCGTGGTGAGAAAGCAGACAACAGTTACGAACGTAAATCAGCTGGCAATAGTAGAAACGATGGCGGCTGTAGCGGGCTTTGAATGTTAATTTTTTAACAGCAAGGCAAGTGGTATCTTCAGTTTAGTCTGAGATTTTATCGCACCACAACAAGAGAATGAGGCACCAAGGCCGACACGTCTTTACAGAAGACTTATCAAAGCCACTTACCGACAAACAACACTTTTTACCTAGGACAAAGTGGGATACACACACAACATAGGAAGACACAAAACCATACCAGGTAGGGAAGCTACATCAGTTGATTACAATAGAGCTCTATCATCCAATTTTCAGAGCTATCATGGAACAAAATAGGGCAGCGTCAACAATTGCCATCCGTGTTGTGGTGAAATTCGAGGCTAACTCAAACTACAGAGCGACACTACGATATACCGCTGCCATTAGAGTCAAACGATGTTGAGAAGGCTTACCAGGTAGTCAGTATACTGTAGCCAGAGATCAGGAAGGAGGCAGTTGTCGGTCAGAGCACGCTCGTAGATGCACTGTATTCGAGCGGGATCACCCTGCTCAAGCTCGTACTCGATGTACGTTTGATATGCGCTGATTGTCGAAGCTCCTTCCTCCACCTCCGCCTGAGACAGAAATTACAAGCACTGCTACAATAATCTTACCACAGTAACATCTACTTGAAATGCCAATGCTACAACGACTGAAAAAGCGAAACCCATAACAGAATGCTGTACAATTCCATATGGGAACATATGTAGCCTGCAACAATTAGGTTCCAGTAATCTCTTGAATGAACTCTCCCTAGAAAATTTAATCAAGATACAACTATCTTTTAGCAAAAGGATGGCTAACTGATGCAAAAGACAAAATTAATAATGAGTATTTCTTCACCAATGCATCTTCATACACTGTCAGCTGTGATAGCTTCTTCTTGGCTTTTTCATACTGGAACTTTGTGTTGTGATCGATTTCTTCCTCTGACAGCCACGCGCGATACTCCTCCAAGGCCACATCCATATCTAACAGCAATAATAGCAGCAACTTACACAGGGCCTTTACCTCAGTTCTACCAGGTCAAGCAAGCAGAACAGTTATCTTGTAATCTAACACAGGCAGCATCTACATGGCACGTACAAATTATGTGCATATAAATTTTATACTGCTTGCGACACCTGTCACTTCACGCGTTTCCTTGCATGCTCGCGATATATGGTGGAAAAGGAGTTGCTTACCGGTTAGTGGAACAGACAGCTGTCTCCTGAAGAGGGTCTTAATTCTGGCCACCTGATCGTCAATTTGCTTCTGCTGCTCTGAGGAGGGAATTGTCCCTGGAGCTGGCTGAAAGATAATGCACACAGCTGTCATCACTTATCGCTCACATGACAGCTGTTGTTTCCAAGCACTAACCACCATCCTCAGGATGACCAAGCGAGATTAAAATATATACAGATCTACAACCTTACAACATTTAGTTCACTACGAGAATACAAATCATCAATTGTAAAGACAGTACCATAATCAAGACTAGGCAGATCGATGCTTATCAGTTCACCAGGTTCTCACTACAGTACTGTGCGAGAGAAATCAAAACTCTATGTAGGAGAACATTGCACATTACGACACTCATGTCACTGCTGCGTTTGCACCTGTAATCCTGGAAGAAGAGCATTCTCGAATTCCCTGTATGTCTCCCAGACAAGCATGCCCTTGGTAGTGTGAAGACCGCAGGCAGTCAGTGCTCTGTCACACACTGACCGCACGTTCTTTATGCCATCTTTGCCATCCATGCCGCCGATGGAGAATTGGATGTACTCGACCCATATTTCCACAGCTAAAAAGGTTATTTAACATGTAGACCGAGTTACTCGTCCATATTCACTCTATCAAAAGTATGCAAGTCTATACGTTCGTGATATTATTCGTAATTAAATCATTCGTAAACATATACAACATAAATGTGCTTACAAAGGTAATCTTTCACAGCCCTTTCAAACAGCTTGGCAACAACTTCTCTCTCTGATTCATTAGTTGCCAAGGGAACCTCATCTCTAAGCCAGTCCAACCAAAGTTCTGTAATATAACAATCGAATTCAGATGATGGAGTTCACTGCGGCCAGTACTCGAAGCAAATATTCAAAGTAACCAACACATTTTTATATTTTAAACGAGTATAAGTATAACAGTCAAAGCTTCATGCCGCATAAATTTACGTACAGCTATTCCATCAGTTGCAGCTAGTATATAGTGTCATGTCATGTGAAGTTTGACAGCTACATCTAACAATAATAGCTAAGAAACTGCAAGCTGTAGCAGTAGCAGAAATGTACATAAGGCAGATATTACGGGTTGCTAACCTTCTGTAAGGGGAAACAGCTTGTTCATCCGTTCTCTCGCATGCTGCAGGGCTTCCAGATCACCCAGCTTTCTAAGGATTGTTATGAGTTGCACATGAGAGTCGTAGTGGTATGGATTCGCTGTCACCTAAAGAAGAAATTAACAGTACAGTCACTGTGACACAAAAAATGATACACAAAATAAAAAACTTTTTTAGTAAAATAAAATTTTACAAAAACTCCATCTTCAGGATAGTTTCTTGGACTCTAAACTAAAGATTAATCCTTGTGAGATTACGAATACGAGGTTAGCAACCGGCATGAACTACACTGTAACTGTAAGAACTAGCTCTAGTACTATAGCCCGCGTACAGTTGCCGCAGGGCTATAGAACATTTTATGCCAGGTTTCGTAACTGCACCTGTCCCCCAATGCTTCCACGAAAAATGGCTCACAAAACGCAAAATGATCGGGCCTTTTAACACTTATTTATCCAGTAGCGGATTATCAATGGGGCAAAGGGGCATTTGCCCCTGGCCCTACAAGTCGACCGGCCCTAAAGTGTTGTGACTACAAAAAAAAATTAT